CAGCGTAGTGAACGAGCAGTAGCTTAAATGTGACGTTTTCAAGTGTATATTTAATTTACCTATGGAATAAATAATCTTTGACTTTGACTTTGACTTAAGATCGTGCTCAGTTTCCTTTTGCCTCAAGTGAGCACCATAAGTCATTAGTCAGATTTAGTAGGCTATTATAGCATAGGTATTTTCGACTTTGTATGAAAGTGGTGTATCTGTTATGTGGTAACTAGTAAGTAACCTGTGGCATTACAGCGTTCCGGTTTCGAAGGGTAAGGATGCTGGTGAAATTACAGGCACATGGGACTTGTCAACTTATGTCTCAGGATGACGGGCGCAGTGGTAGTGGTAGATCTTCGCGATTTAAAGCTGTGAGTGGCACTGCAACTGTTACGGATAAATGTTTCGTTTACCACCAGGAGCACGACTTGTTCGTCCCGTCACTTGGTTATTATAAAAAAAAAAAAAGTTTCCAGGTGAGCTGAGGAATTTACCATACATTTATTTCAACGTCATGTCATAGTGAAAATAATAACCTGCACCCCGTAAACTTAAACGAGGACGATCCAATAAAACTAGTTTAGTTCAGTCTCTAGCCGCAATGGCGTAGCGTAGATTTCTGTCGTTCGGGGACAACCTTCAATTTGTTGCCCCCTTTATTTTCACGATTACGAAAGCACATACTTCGTTCGGACTCGGTTCGATTGTGTTTTCACTGAATCCTATATCCTAGTATCCAGAACTGATAAGTTCAGGGTATCGTTGTTTCCAACAGTAAATTTATTTTCTAATTTCACTCTCAGCCATACGACTCCCACTGCTGGGCGTACGCCTCCCGAAGAGGGTGCAGACGCCTCTGCAGATGCAGTCGCCACTGTCTAGCCGAGACGTCTTCAAGGTTTGAAGTGGGACTGTAATAAACCTATTTAATACAATTTATTCTTAAAAGTCGTAGTAGCCTAATGGTTTGACTTACCGCGTACCAAGCAGAGATCGTGAGTTTATATACGAGTTTTGCGGAATTTATGTGCGAAATTGGATTTCAAATTTACCATGAGCTTTTCAGTGAAGTAAAACATCGTGATCAAACGAAACTTGCACGTCGAAGAAATTCACAACATTCGGAAAACGTGTGAAGTCTACAACCCCAAAAAACAGCATTGACTTAGAACCTTTGCCTGTGAGGAGAGATCTGCGCGTATCAGTGGACGACGATGAAGATGATGAAGCGTGAGACGATAATGAAGCGAAATTAAGATGTAATTTAAACCCATTAATACAAAAGATATTTTACTATCTAAACATAATTTCTACATTATTTCCATTACTAATCGCCTTGTGAGTTCTTGTCATTTGATGATTTAAATTTACAACTGTCGGAAAACGTGTTACATCCCCAACCCGCATTAGGTCAGCGTGGCGGACTATGGTGTGTACCTATCGCCTGAAAAGAGACCCGTGCCCGGCAGTGGGACGTATAAATAGGTTTATTTTATTTATTTAATCTGTAATTGTGTCATATTTGTGAATAAAGTGTTTATCTATCTACGTTAAGTTGCGAATATTGTTACCTCCGCTATTGCATCTTCTCCATTCCACCTACTTGGAAAGAGTATGTGGCATTTTACGTGGGCACTAGGCATTATACATAAAGAACGAATAAAGTAATCAATAGTACTTTGATTGGATTCGGAGACGTCGTCGATATGTCTGTCACTGTCTGTTATTTATTTAATGATTGAATGATACACATGATTAAAAAAGACCACAGTCGCCAGTTGCGGTAGTCGGACACTGTCGCTGGTTGCCGCAACCACAATTTGTATGAAAATAGACTATTCGCTTCTAGTTGCCGGTTGCTTGTATTCAACACAAGACACACGTTCGCATTGTAGTCATGTACAGTGTGGACCCATTGAAATCTCATGGAGTGAGTAATTAGATAGTAAATGCAATATATTTTAATAAGTAATAATTAGTTATTCTCAGTATCCCAATTACGTTCTTATAGAAGCTACATAAGTATCGCTTTCAGGTAGAGATCGATAATAGTCCCAAACCCGTGCGAATGTGATAAGAGCTTGGAATGGTGTATTAAATGAAACGAAAAATGACATTCATAGAATGTTTACTAAGATTGTCATAAAAAGCAATCTTTTAACATTATTTCAACATTCAACTATTTAGACCATACATTCTGCATTGTAGACTTAAACAGAATAGTTACAAAAAATATGTTTTCAAAATATACAACACAGAATGTATACTAGTCATATAATGCAATATCATTTATATAATCTACATCGAATGGCCACATTTATAACGCTCTGGCAAATATTTACAACATAAAAATATCACAAACGCGTAAAATTGAGTACATTATAATTAATATATTATGAAAACATACATAATAAAGGTCGTACATAGCAAACAAAAATATAAAAAGTTATATTTGACTAGGATATACATAAAAATAATGTTATACAATTTATTAAAATATGTATAATAATGAACTTTCTGAGGATGCAATAGTATATTATAATTGATTATGGCACTATTTTATTCCATAAAACGATAAAATAGGCATCCTTTAAGATAGGCCTGGAGTAATTTATAAAGCTAAAAGGCAGTGATTGTTACACTTAATTACATTAACTTTAACAGTGCAGCCATATCAGAATCATTTAAAAAATATATAGGTACATTTGAGAATATTACAGAGATTAATATCAGGTGTGAATGATGTAAAAATCTATACACACACACACAAGAATGATTTCTAAAAAACTTCATTTCATTAATTCCCCTATTTGTGACAGTCTGCGTGCGAAAGTATGTTATAGGACTTTAAAACGAGTTTATTTTTGCATCTAATTATTATATGTCAAATGAATAGGTACTCTATAAGTACATGAAACTTACAATCGACCATAAGGTAATCTTACATGCAGATTAACATTCGCAATTAATTTGTAAACTTTAATAATTGCAAACAATTAGCAAACATTCTGAGCCGTCTTTTCATTGATTGACTTGGAAAATGTGTTAAGTCTAAGTCTTCTAGTGTTTGTGTACAAGTACACGGCAAGGGTGGCAGATAGGATTACGAAAGCAACTGATGCCATGGCTATGTAAATAATTGCTGATCCATGACTTGCTTGAGCCACTACTTCACCAATACTGCTTACATCTCTTGCATGACGAGACCTTGGTTTTGTCCTTGAAAACTCGAAGTGATCTAAAAACAGAAAAAGAACCAGAATAATTTTCATGTTCTGTAAAGTGCCAAAGATTTTTCATATGTTTTAAGTTCTGTATGAATTACATTGAAACCATAACTTACCGATTTCTGACTGTGACTCATCATCGTAGTCAACGTTCTTGGAAGCCAATCTACTAGTCCTTGGTTTTATTTCATTTTCTGCCGGGAACGGTGGCAAATAAGTAGATGGCGGGTTTGTGCTACTTGGAGCGAATGGTTGTGGGCACTTGGGATCCTTGGATCCTGGGTAACATGAGCTTGGAATTGCAGGTTGAGCACATTTTGGATCCGTGCTACCAGGGTAGCATCTCGGTTGTTCAGTTGTTGAAGGTTTGGGACATCTAGGGTCGTTACTGCCAGGTAAACATCGTAGAGGAGGTTGTGTAGTTGGCTGAGGACATCTTGGATTCGTGCTACCAGGGAAGCACCTTGGTTGTTCAGTTGTTGAAGGTTTAGGACACCTAGAGTCTCTACTGCCAGGGAAACATATTGGAGAAGGTTGCGTTGTTGGTTGAGGGCATTTCGGGTCGGTCGAACCTGGGTAGCATCTCGGTTCTTGAGTGGACGGAGGCAAATATGTAGGGGGGTTCAGTGTTGTAGGTCGCGGGAGTTGAGGACATTTAGGATCGGAAGAACCTGGATAACATATAGGCTTTGCAGTTGTAGTATCCTTTGGACACCTGGGATCGTTACTGCCAGGGTAACAATTCGGAGGAGGTTGGGTAGTTGGCTGAGGACATCTTGGATCATTACTACCAGGGAAACATACTGGTTGTCGTGTTGAGGAAGGTCTTGGGCACCTAGGATCGTTACTACCAGGGAAACATCGAGGAGGTACTTGTGTAGTTGATTTAGGACATCTTGGGTCTGAACTACCAGGGTAGCAACTTGGTTGTGCAATTGTAGTAGGTTCAAGAGACTGAGGGGTGGTTGCTCTTGCACATTTGGGATCGTTTGATCCAGGATAGCATCGCGGTCGTTCAGGTGTAGTGGGTTTTGGACACCTTGGATCATTACTACCTGAGAAGCAGTTAAGTGGAGCAGGTGGTACAGATGTCGTTGGTCTAGGGCAACGAGAATCGGTAGAACCAGGGAAACAACGCGGTTGCTCAGGAATGGTTGGTTTTGGGCATCTGGGATCATTAGATCCAGGATAGCATTTTGGACCAGAAGTGGAGGGGGGTAAGTAGGTAGGTGGATTAAGAGTCGTAGGTCTTGGTGGCTGAGGACAGTTGGGGTCTGGAGACCCAGGATAGCATATGGGTTTTTGTGGTCTTGATGTAGAAGACTGCGGACATCTTGGGTCTGTCGATCCAGGGTAGCACCCAGGCTGTTGCGTCGTTGGCTTTGGACACTTAGGATCAGAAGAACCAAGGTAACATCTTGATGGTGCTGGAGTTGTAAATTGTGGGCATTGAGGATCGGTGCTGCCAGGATAGCAACGAGGTAGTGCCTGTGTCGTTGGTTGCGGGCAACGTGGATCTGTGGTGCCAGGGTAACATTTTAGAGGGGCGGATGTTGTAGGTTTGGGACAACGAGGATCAGTAGAGCCGGGATAGCATTTTATTTGCGTTTGTGTGGATGGTGGAGGATAAGTAGGTGGGTTCAATGTTGTAGGTTTTGGTGGCTGAGGACATTTTAGATCTGGTGAACCAGGATAACAACGTGGTGGAGTTGGTGTTGTTTGAGGACATCGAGGATCCGTTGTACCAGGGTAGCACCTTGGTTGTTCAGGCGTCGTTGGACTAGGACAGCGTGGATCATTGCTACCAGGGAAACAATTAGGTAGAGTGGGCTTTGGAGGAGTGGGTCTAGGACAACGAGGATCAGTGCTTCCGGGATAACAATTTGCAGGTGCGGGTGTAGTTGGTCTAGGTGAGCTAGGTCTTGGGCATTGTGGGTCTGTACTGCCAGGGTAACAATTTGGTGGTGCTGGGGTAGTAGGACTTGGACAGCGAGGATCTGTGCTTCCTGGGTAGCAATTGGGAGGTGCCGGTGAGGTAGGTTTAGGACATCTAGGGTCATTACTGCCAGGAAAACATCTTGGTGCAGCTGGTGTTGTCGAAGGTGGTAAATATGTGGGAGGGTTTCGAGTTGTAGGCCTTGACGGCTGTGGACAGCTAGGATCAGGTGATCCTGGATAACAAACCGGTTTTGGTGTAGTTGGTCGAGGACACCTAGAGTCAGTGCTACCCGGATAGCACTGAAGTTGTGTTTCTGTCGTTGACTTTGGACAGCGTGAGTCGGTATTGCCTGGATAGCAGTTAAGAGGGGCAGGAGTTGATGACCTAGGTGAAGTAGGTCTTGGGCATCGTAGATCCGTACTTCCAGGGTAGCAATTAGGTGGTGCTGGGGTAGTAGGACGGGGACAGCGCGGGTCTGTGCTACCGGGGTAGCAGTTAGGAAGCGCTTGAGATGTGGACTTTGGAGGAGTAGGACTAGGACAACGAGGATCAGTGGTTCCTGGATAACAATTTAGAGGCGCAGGTGTAGTTGGCCTGGGTGAGGTAGGTCTTGGGCATCGTGGATCCGTACTGCCAGGGTAGCAATTAGGAGGTGCTGGCGTCGTGGGTCTAGGAGACGTTGGTTTAGGACATCGAGGATCTGTACTTCCTGAGTAACAATTTGGAGGCGCTGGCGGCGTCGGTTTTGGACACCTGGGATCATTACTACC